TCATTTTATGAAAATTACTGATGATAGTGGTTGCATCCCTAAATAACCGTGAAATGGCCTAGAAACAGTGAATGGTCTAAGCCCAAGAACATACCCGGGCTACCACATACACAAGTCAAAATATATAGGGTGGGCCAAAAAAAACCGTCCCATATTTGAAGTTTAATAGCTTGGGCCTCGTTGGGCCAATATTTATTTTAAAGCAGAATGAAGCTTGTTCAATTTTCTTTCAAAAGATATATACTTTTTGGAGGGTTGCTTCAGAAAAATAGCTGCTATTACAGTTTAAAAAAAGTGACAAAATTTATTTTTGAAAATGGACATTTACTCCAAGTTCCTTTTCTTCAATCTCGAATTTATCACTCACACGCTCACAGACCCTTTTTATGAACCAAAAATGGTTCAATGTGCCCCCCTCCATGATCTACAACAGCCTCATGTTACTGGCCTCATGATCACATGATCTCTCATCAATCAATATGTATCATGCAGGGGCACGTGGGAAAAGGGGGTGTGCGGGAGAAACAGGTGACAGCAGCAACACGACATTGGAAAGAACTCAAAATTTCTTTGTCACTTCTTTTTAAACTGTAATAGCAGCCATTTCTCTCCCACAAACCCCCCAAAATTATATATCATTCGAAAGAAAATTAAACAAAATTCATTTTGCTTTTTTAAAAATTGATATTGGCCCAACAGGGCCCAAGTTATGAAGCTTCAAATTTGGGGCGTTTTTTTTTGGCCCACCCTGTATAATTGGGCAAACAACAAAAAGGTTAAACATTGCATGAATTTTGTGAGGGATTGGGATGACTCCTCCCCATTGCATGTAACTGCCATGCCCTCAATGATATAGTTATCAGATTAGAACAAACAACAAAGACAGCAAGGTTCAGCCATATCTTTATTGACACGGGAAGAAGCCCACTTCCAAGTTTGCACAAATGTTGTCAACAAGCAAGCAACACGTCCTTGTCACTAACCTCGCATAAGCACCGCTGATATGGAAACTTCATGTAAACAGAAACAAGCGTGAAATAATTTTGGCAACTAGAATGTTGGATGATTGAGGACTTAAACCAATTATCACAATGGTTTTCATAATGCCATGTCAAATACAAGGTTGGTCAAGAGAAAAAATGCAAAAACCAATCCAAAAAATACTCATATTACATCTGTAAGACTCTCAGAAAAAAACAAAAATTTCATGGTGTATTTGAAATTCAGGACTGAGACATGGAGCAATGGGTTGGTTGTATGACTAGGATATCCATGTTTAAAAGCGAAAGATTCCAAATCTAGCTTGACAACGGTTTTGACTTCATCAGAGTGCAGTGAACAAGAAAAGAAAAATTTGCCTTGAAACTGCCAATGAAAGCACAAAGCAAGATTATGACAAAATTTACAGTTATATCACATAACTAAGTAAAAAACTTACGCTTTAAAGCAAAAGGTCTGGAAAGAAATTTTTTACTCCTTGTCACATTGAAAATAGCACCAACCTTTAGCAGTACAGAAAAGAGATACGCTATAATGACCTTTGAGCTGCGGCTTACAATCGCGAGGCAAAAACCGAGGCCAATCACAAGCATGCCATTGCCAATCACAGACGTCGACCGTGATGAAGGAGAGGCGGAACTGATCTTCAGTCACTGCAATAGGGATAAACACTACTGGAAGAAGCAATAGGGCAGTTAAGTAGTCAATACCTAATCTAAATCGCAATTGTGCCTAATTGAGCATCATGGGCATGACTTTGATGCCACCAGGAATGATATCAACACCTACAATGCACAAGGGAAAAGCATTAACATAACTTCCTTCTACTTTCGAGGGGTTGCATAAGAACATCAATAAAACAGACACTTGTGGAGACTAAAAAGCTGACTTGTCAACACTACAAAGCCTCAAGAGGAGCAAAAGCATAAAACATGATTGAATTCAATCAACGAACTTTGAAGTCTGGCAACTCCACTGAGCCTTTCAGACTTTCAAATCTGAACACAATTACATTTCAAACCCAATGAGCTCAACATGTCCCTCTTCAGCATTTCATTCTACACTTCATGACCAAGTTATGCTTCAACTAATACATCTCCATGCATATGACTCAAAAAAGCCTAATGTAAAAATGAAGCCCAACACCCATGTGAGTATACCACTGCACAGGCATGACTATAAAGTTTTACACTACATGAGTGACTCTTTGGAACTCAACTACTTAAGGGCACATTTAGGATATATACAGCTGGTCCGAGAGAAGCGGCTCAATTCTTTGAGTAACAGAACTACCAACAGTTGTTCCAAAGCCAAGTTGAAGCTTCCCTTATTTCCTAAGAAACTTTTTTATCTCCTTGCATTATTATTGTATGGAGTTACCTGGTTAATACATGGCAAAATAACCTAGTCCTTGCTTTACCTGTGCATTGTTGTATTCAAGAGACAAGCATCCCTCAAAATCTAAATAAATTCTGCAAAATCAAATTGCATGGGGGATCACCACATAAGCAAGCAAAGTTGCCTCCTGGTGCCATAAATCCTGAGGAGTGAAGTTCCCTCCATGGTGACATTCCATCATAAACCATCTAGGCATAGATATGCTGTAGTTACTCTGTTCAAAGTTGAGGGCCAATTATCACTCAGAAACACTTTTCTCTTGAAGTTACACAATCTACAGCTAAAACCAGTGCAGTTTACTCCATAGTAACATCTATCTACTTCCCTAGAATGGATTGGCAGAAAATTTTCTGTGATATGTGTATTTTTCTATGAAAGAGATGCAGCTCATGAAAGTGAAACTTGGTTAAGTTTGTTGTGAAAGTAATTTCCTATTCTTTACAACGAACATAGCATAGCTCTGGTGCTCAAAAATGACTTGTCACCTACAGAGAGAAACATCACAAGTTTCATCATGGTCAGGTAACTGTTCCATTTTCCTTGGGATGGTGGAGATCTATGGAACTCAAAAGTCAATACCTCTCATTCTTCCTTTCTCATCTTCCCCCATGATTCTTTTGAATGGAATTGCACTCATATGAAACAAAATAACATGAAATAATGGGGTTGAAAATGGGGCTGACAATGGGTGATTTCAGAATGCAGGGTCATCTTTGGTCAACTACTTCACAGGGATCAATCTGTAAACTGCCCAGACCAAATGAGACTAGAAAATTTAAACTGGCAAATGGAAATGCAAATCCTAATTATAAGGCTCTAAGCATGCTCAAAAAGTACTTGAAACTGTAATCAAAGCTATTTCACATTTGGTCCACCATGGAGCTAGAACTGCTCCCACTTGAGAAGCTGCCAAGCGTCAAAGCCATTCCTGAGTCCCCCTATTCCTCCTGCCATAATCCATCCAAAAGGAATCAATGAAATTCAGCTGCCTGGTTATTGAAACAAATAGGACAGCAGCAGCTACAGTTTCCAGATCTAGGATGCCAAATTTTTCAAGAGATCTCCAGAGAAAAGCTATGGTGACAGATCCTCAGATCTGATGACAGATCTGAGGACAGACGAGCATGGTAAGTTCATCTTCTAGCAGGTGACTTCTAACTCTTCTACTTTTTCATAAAGTGAAAGATTGACAGAATTATTATTTCAAATTAGAAGCCTATTTTAATTCCTTCTTCACTTAAATGCAATATCTCTTCCTTGAGGGAGGGATGAAGTTTTTTAAAAAATGAGAGGGAATTTCCACATTTGAAATCTACCTGCTTAGATGTGTTATATTGGAGCAGGATAGTTGCAGGGAGAAGTTGAATCAGTGAAGGAACATCATACCAACTCCATGTCAGTACAGCCAAAAAGCCTACCATTCAAGAGTCACACAATGAGCAAGTCCATGGGAAGTAACAGGCTGTAGAACTTTCAGTCACTTCCATAGGAGAAGTCTTCCTTTGCCCCTTTGCTGATCAAAAGAACTTGACAAGAATGCAATTAGAAGTCGTACAAGAATGAATGGAAATTAGCAATAGACTCTAAAGTTGTCCCCAATGAAGACCAGTTTGGCATAAAGTGTAATCATGCATCCTCCACAATTATTCTAGTGATGCATGTTTCTGTTTCTACCAAAAGAGGGCAGAGGAAGAATTTAAAGTAGCTGCAGTTTCTTTGATATGACCACATGCTAAGCCAGCAGCCCATTTTGAAAGGCGGCTTTGGCCGATGCATGAGCTTAGAATTCTCTTGCATCCGATAAGCTCGAAATAGCACACTTTGTTGTCATAGCTGACCTTTGGTGACTTGATCTGCAATGGGTTCTGCCAATCAGAGCATCTGCCCCTCACAAAACAATTCACTGTCACAAGGGAAAAAGCCTTTCACAAAAGGGGCCATTTCAATATGGAATGGCAGGACTTGAAGATAGCATAGAGGAAAACCCAATATGTGGTCATGGAAGACCTGTTCAAATGCATGCAGCACAAGGAAGAACAGTCTTTGGAAAAGAATTGTGCATAGGAAAACCATGTGGTTAAGTGACTAGATATTGGGAACTAGTCATGCTCTGTCATCAAGTTAAAAAAAAATTCCAATAAAGCATGTAGTCTATCACAATCAAAGACAAAACTTTCTCCTATCTTTTTTAAGAAATCTCTCATGTTTACACTATAAAAGGCTGACTATCATCAAAGGATCAAAATCCTATGGTAAAGAAGATGTAGAAGCCTGAAAATCCCACCATATACAATGGAAGAGGTTTTGGCACTAAAATTGCAAAAAATGCAATGGAAACAAAATTTCTGACTAGTGTCAGAAAATGCCTTTGGGTTCATCACCAGTGGATTTTGAGTCAGAGGTCAAGATTCCCCATGAGGCCAACTCCTTACTCAATGCTATCAAGTTTGTGCCAATTGCAGTGCTTGAAGGAGGGGGCTCCGACATGGAGTTCTTTGCGGATCTCGTATGCCACACCAACACCTGAAATGTTTTTGTTTATTTTTTCATCATCTGAAATGACTAATACCATGATTGTTCACAACATGAAACCCAAAACTGACCTTGGTGCAGTCATCTGCCAGAGGTTCAATGTCCTCCTTGGCAATGTTGAGTGACTGGAGGAAGTAGTCTTCTTCGTATCCAGACTTGTAGGGCATCGTGGCATTTGGGTGCTTCAAGAGGAACTTTGTTCCAATTGCAAAGCCAGCCATGTCCACTTGGAACACTCGATAAGCAGGCCAGAAGTCATAGAAATCCACCACCTGACCCTATATGAAATCAAAATCTACTTGCATGCCTCTCAGGAAAGGAATCACTTCATTTGCTAAATCCTTTAGTTAAATTTTCTCTTGGTGACAACTTGAGGTTCTGCATATGTAAACTTCAAAGAAGTTCATTACCTTAATGTTATTTGCATATTTTACAGTATTACACACCATATTGATGTCTATTGTGTAATCACATATTCACATGCTCCAGTACAGCTTTAACAAGTCCGATGCTGGAAAATTTTGGCATGTCAATGTTGGTAGCTCAGACTTGGCCCTTGACTTACCTCTGTTCAGCAGTTCTTTCATAACCCAGGTTTTAAAAAAAAAACCTATGCACTAGAATATAACAACATACAAGTTGTATGCGCATGTTGGTCTCAGTGTCTGTCATGGGTCTTTGCCTACACAAAGTACATTAAGAATTCAGACAATAGGAATTGAATCCTAAAGTGGGACAAGAACCTCTCTCTTTTAGCCAGGTTTGACACCACTGAGGCAAAATAAGTTCAAATTAGGCTGGGCACACACAAACGATACCTTTGCCTCAGACATATCAACATCATGCACATAATAACAAACAGTTTTCAAGGGAATGATGCATATCAATGAAACATGCAAATTTTCATCAGCCTTAATATATCTATAGCAATGCAGATCAAGGAACTCCCTGCCTGCATTGCATGGTGCCTGAAATTACATCAGCAGGGATAAGTGATGTGATTGCTCACTTGATCACATTTTAAGCCTAAGAAATCCAGAACAAGCTGGACAAAGCTCAGTCCATTACCAAGCCTCCTTGGAGTATACCATGAAAGCAGATACAAAGTCATGGAGAATATGAAGAGTATGGGGAGAACAATAGCCCAATACGAGGCGGCTGTAGGTAGTGTGGATGGTTAGTGGTTGGGGCAAAGGACAGTCATCCACTTTACTATTCTACTCAATATTTCTCAAACATATACGATGGATTTCTCAAAAGTTCTGCCAGTAGCCCCAAAGTAGCACTTTGCGGCCGCCTCCGATGACGACTTGTGGGCTACTGGCAGAACTTTTGAGAAATCCCTCGTATTACTACTTCTCATTTCTATTAGGCCACTTCCTGTTTTTTTTCCTGCTTTCTGGATTCAGTATTTCATCCTTTCTGTGCCTATGTTTTGTCCGCTTTCATCATCATGAACTGCATCTTTTGCTGGTCTCATCATCAATTGACAACATTGTGATATTTACTCTTCCTTCTTCTGCTCATGCTTTTTTGCTTTATTTATTTCTTTTTTTCTCCATTTTTCAGCCCTTCTCATTATTTAACACATTCACTGCAGATTCCTCATCCAAATGCATTTCTGCATAATTTTCAAATTTTTTTTACATATACTTTTACATACTTTTGGACACCCTACACATTTTTCATCAGTGTAAGGGTCAATGGGAAACAGGTATGGCTGACTTACACCACACTTAAAGCAAAGGTTTACACATAATGGATTATAAGTCACAAAACACTGGTGCTTCATAGTATAGTGAATATGTGAATTTTGCATGTGGTATGATGAGCATAATAAAACAATTAAAAATAGTTAACAGTTCTCACTGTTCAAAATAATGTAAAAATGTCATTCCTATATGTGTAAATGGTGCTTACATTCTTCACAACAGGAGAGCTGACTCCATAGGTCCCAAGCAGCCCCACAGGGAACATGGAAACCCCATTGGTGCGTCTGATCTCGTCAAACAGCCGCAGATCATACGTATTGTCATCATCACCAAAGTATAGGACTCCATGAAGTGGGGAATCTACATGACCCAAGAGATCCTTCAGGTAATTGAGCGCAGCACGTCGACCCGATACACCCCGGGGCGGCCAGATCTGCCCTCGGAAACATCCCGGCATGGGACTCACTAGATGAGTGTAGGAGGATATGCCTGGAGAGACAAGGTAACATGATGCTGTTCAAGATGAAAAAGACCATCCTGAATAAGCTGTGCACCCTGTCAAGTTGATATACCTAACCCTAACCCATATTACAGTAGAAAAACTTCAACTCACGAGTTTTCTTCAAAAAGGCAGAGAGATGGGCAGAGCAGGTAGAGGAATCTTCAACCACAATCCAATGGAGTCGGGGAACAAACTGCAAGGTGTGGGAGAGGCGGGTGAGTTCGGGCAGCTGTTCGGGACGCCGGTAAGTCGGAGTGACCATGTGAATCCATGGTTCAGCCATATTTGAACCTTCTTCACCCTGAAAGAAGAAAGGAATGTGAAGAGACTGCTGACAACAAAAGAAATATTTTTCTTGAGTCAACTGACTGACCTGAACTGCAACCTCGAGCTGGACATCACAGACAAGCTGGAACTCCTCTGGTTGGCAGAAGATCTCATTGGCTGGATTGAAGAGGAAGAGGAGGCCAGCAGCAATGAGAAGAAGACCACAGGCAAGGAGGCACCAGTAGAAGCGCCTCATCTGCCGTAGCAAGTTCACCCCGTTCCATCCCGAACCCATCGGTTCTCTCACTCTCACAGTCCATTGACATCTTTCATCCTCACAGTGCGCATTTGGAAGACTAACAAGTGATGGAGGGGAATGTGTGTGGGTGGAAACCTTGTCAAAGTCAACCACATCCATTTCATTTAATGAGAAATAACTAAATACTGAGGCCTAATACCTTAATGACTACTATAGTCTTAAAGAAAGGATCTGGGGCCAGAGGGACAGGTTCCCAAATGTTGTTAAATGGACATAGTATCAAAATAAGTATGTAAAGGAAGCAAAACCAGGAGAGCCTTATGCTAGATGAAATCTTGATGAGGATCACAAGTGATGACTGATGATGAATAGAATTCCTGCAGCTTAATTAGAAGTAATAGATAGGCTAATTAAAGATAATTTAAAAAATCAATATTGTTCATTTTCATATGAATATTCCAATCCCTTATGTGGAAGGTATCCAAGTTGTTCCTCAGAAGGCTTGCAGACAAACTTCACAAATAAACACCTGAGAGACTTATAAGAAATAGTCAAAATAAAAAATTAGGCTTCTGGTGGTCTACATAAGAGCCTACGTCCATTAGTACGACAGGCATAATCAATACAATGCCTTTGGGCCATTGTAGACAAGAAATCAGATTAAAGATTCACTCTAGAACTTTCAGCAAGTGGGTGGTTCAGCTACGGAATCATGAAGATGCATGATTAAAATGAGCAATTGAAAGAACATTGTTCCAGTGACTTTCAAATTTTCAATGTTCTCTGAATCAAACATTCCACTATGAGCCCAGTACAACACATAAGCCCAATGCGTCAATTGAGAACATAAGTAAAACCACCCAGTGCAAAGGCCATAGGTTCCATTTAGCCATGGAGGTATATGTGATTACTTATAAACTAATTAACTGCAAGCTATGCAGAACAGAGCCAAACTGAGCCAATGTAAAACAATGCATTCTGAAGAAAAACTTGCACAGTATCTCCACTGAATAGTAGATGTTTGGATAGTCACAAATCGCACTGCAGAGATGCCTTAAACCCAATGTCGATGATTGCCCATATCAATGGTTTTTATCTCACGAGGAAGCACAGGACGAAGCATAGGCAGACTGCCAGGAGCATTATAATAAAAATTCATGATGTCTGATAAGGAAAGAAAGCATGCGTGATAAGGGAAGCAAGAGAGAAAAATCATCGAAGCAAGAGAGAAAAGCAAGAGAGAAAAATCATCGCAGCAAAGGAATAAAGGGGAAGAGAAAGTTGGCAGTGAGCCAAATCTCTTTACTGAGGCCAAGGTAGAGTCAAGGAGTTATTTTAGACTGCTATTAAGTTGGTGCCCATTCAAAAAGAGTCTGCATTTCACTTTTTCCAGTGTAGTTTCGGATTCAATTTTATTTTAGACATCGTGCCTTGAGTATCTGTTAACTGGAGACAAAATTGAATACAAACTGGATTAAGCTGTATATGCTTGTCACTTATATCAGGGAAGTTTCCATTCCTGGTAGATTCATTAAACATGAATCTACATGAATTCATGAAAACATGATTCACATGAATCTGGATTTTTTTTCTCCCAAGATCTGAGTACCAAGGCAAGATTAGGCAGTCTGGAGTTGGTGCAACATGGCCTTCCTTATTCTTAATTACAGTTATTATTACTATTAACATTATGACTTATTAACTAATTAAAAATGTTTAGTTCTTTCAACATACCTTAGCACAGCCATATCACTAAGCAAATGGATAGAATAACTTTCTAAGGAAACATTTATTCTTGGCATTGGTGTGCCAAATTTGAACGTGGGGAAGAAATGACTTCTATTTCTCTTTCATAACAAATATTGCAACTGTCAATGAAACAAATGACTTTAGAAATTATGCATTGGCCAATATTATTTGTTTGTGTGCTAATTTTGAACATGAAAAAGTCTCTAAGGCTTCAATAAACTTACATAATTAAGCAGCAACAATAACAGCATTCTGTTTGGAGTTTGACTCAAACAAGGAAATTAAGAATCACAAAATAGAAAGCAAATTTCACACCACTGTAAGTGGTATTTTATGAATCATGCATGCCCATGATCAAGGTCATTGCCAGACCTTTGAAGGTAGACCTCACAATCCACTTTGGGCATAAAAAAAGTGTGCTGTTCCAAGCAAAGAGCTAATGTACAAATCCCAAAAAGATATATTGAGACACATGGGTGACTGGGAAGAAATGCTTATTGCTGACTCATCACTGCCATCAGCACACAAGGAGACACAATCCAAGGAATGCTCCAACTGGACAGTGAAAGAAACTGTTGAAAAACTATTCAACCTGGAATCAGGTTTGCAGGGTAGGTACTGATCTATCTTCTGAGAGCACCATGAATTACATCTTCTCTGCAGGGACAGTCATCACAAAATATATCACTCTCGCTATAGAAAACATCAGATCTCATCAACTATCTACTGGATTTTGGGAGAGTATTGGCCAGAAACGTGAGGAGAGTGGACGAATAGAAGAGCTGGCTGGTGTCCCGTCGAACGTCGATCACCTCGAGGAATGGGAAGCTCTTGCCGACGATGATGACCCACGGAATGCCCCAGTGGCGAAGGTCTTTCACGCGTTTCCCGATCGTGAGATGGGTCCGATCGTCCACCAAGACGTCGTGCTCGAACTTCTCGATTGCCAGTTTGTGATAGAAGGAAGTTATGAGTTGATTGGCTCCCTTCACTTCTTCTTTGCTCCCTTCCTGCAAATATATTATGTAAAGAATCACCAGCAAATCAAAACAATGTAAAATTATATCTTAAAAAAACCCTGATGGTTGTGAAGTAGGGATACAACAGACATTGATGAGAGCAACAAACAGAAAAAGCTTCAAAATATGGGTAAAACTGAAAGCCAAGGCAGAGTTCAGAAGGAAAAGACCTTCCTGCCTAAATTACATGCACTGAAAATACCAGCTCATGTTCTCACTACAGTCTACATTTAGACCACAAACCCCCCCCCCCCCTTAAAATTTCAAGCAATTACAAATAGTTTCATAATAAAGAATGAAATTAAAGGCTGAGGGGAAAACAAACCTTTGGGGGTACAAGAGCTACCAGGAAAGGTGCTATGGGAATGGGCCAGACCATCTCTGAAGGATCTGGTCCTGTAAGGACCTCAAGAATGCCACCGAGAAGCCGAGACAGCCCAAGTCCGAAGCATCCCATCTGAACAGGTGATAGAGTCCCATCAGAAGTCTGCATCATTGCCTTCAGAGGTTCAGAGTAACAAGTCTCAAGGAGGAATGAATGGCCAATCTGTGGAAGCAATAGAGCTCACTGTGAATTCTTGATTTTACAGAACATCAGCATTCACAGATGAATCCAAAATCTTTCATCATCTAGGGAGCCAATTTCTTGATCTGAAATCTCAAACATAATCATATTGGGATGAATGCTTTTAAAAAAAATGGCATAAAACAATAAATTTTAGTGATGATTGAATGAAGAATATTCCAAGGGAATATTCTTCATTCTTCATGAAGAATATTCCAAGGGAATATTCTTCATTCTTCTTCAAGAAAATGTATATGAAGAAGAAGAAGATGAACAAGATGATTGATAATCATTAGAAAAGTAACATCAACAAGACATTACTGAATAAAATGAAAACTTCTGATTAACTTTAATTATTTGTGTTTGTATGGGGAACAATGCATAGTTAAGTGAACCAGGAGCAGTCACCCATCACTTCACATTAGACAAATCACACAAAATGAACTGACCTCAATGCCAGGACTCTGTTCTAATTGTCCCCTACATCGTGGACAAACATCTCCTGGCACAACTTCTGCATTAGCTGAGAAGTCACAATTTGTGCACAGCTTCAGTTGATCCTCACCCACATCAGATAGTAAATGGAACTCGTGGGACATGGAACCTCCAATGTCTCCACTCATGGCTTCAGCTATAGAACACCCAATGGTGCCAATGAGAACTCCCAGATAAAAAAAAAAAAAAAAAAAAACAGGAGCTGGGGTGGAACTGCTCCAGAGAACTATGACTAGCCCACTGAGCTGATACAAGAACAACAAAGAGATGCTCCATACCTTTGACATACCTCAAACCAAGCTGATGGAAAAGAGACGAGTATGCCTCGCAGACGGCATCGTACGTCTTGCGGGCGTCTTCAACGCTCACGTCGAACGTATACAGGTCTTTCATGAGGAACTCTCTGGATCTGAGGATGCCATGCCGTGGCCTGCGCTCGTCTCGGAACTTGGAAGTGATCTGATACATCCTCAATGGGAAACTGCGGTGCGACAACGGCATTCCCGAGATGAGGACCTCCGTTGCCAGCTCCTCGTGCGTCTAAAGAGATTGAGAACCATGATGCACGTGCTACCATACTACTTATGGCTCATTGCTCTTGCAATACATATTGTAATAGGTGCTGAAAGTATTTGCCAGAGTGCTTCATGAAACACGGGTTCAATCATTGAGAAAAAACAGCTCCCAGCTGGGAGCTCTTTCATCAAGCCACTCACAATCCAAGTTGTAAAATGACACCAAAATAAAATAAATAAATAAAAAACACTCACAGGACAAAGCACAAAAGGCTTCTGATGTCGGTCCTTCAGTGTGAACAATTCCCCTTGACACCTCTGAAGCCTACCTACAAAGCAACAAGACACACGAATGCAAACCGTTCCCCAACCACAGCCAAGTGAGAAGCAAAGGAAAGAGCAAGAGAAAGACTAGGCCGGCTTAACCTTGGCGCAGAAGAGGACTTCCCCAGATCACTGTGACTCGGCCAAAATTAATGCTTCCCTCTGGGATAGAGGTCGTTTCAAAGAATCCACTTTGTGATACACTCAAATGTGTAATATATACAAACCCCAGAAAGTGTCCCTTCGTTTTTCTTCTCAGAATTCTCAATGCAAATGTCATTGCACCCTCTTTTCATTCCATCTCCCCAACTCACAGAGGTCAAATACTCCTTCCATTGTCGACAATGGAAGGACGAGAATCCACACAACTCTCAAAGATCCAAAGGGTCTTTGGCTGCATTTTTGTACTCCCTTCTGGCCTCTGATGAAGGTATGCAACATATACCTTTTGAACTCTGTGATACAAAATTTAAAAAAAAAACATGGTTTGTTTGATCATTCTTAACAACTCAGTGATTTATTACCAAAAAAAAAGGAAACAAGGTAGAAGCAAGTATGCCTAAATTCAATGCTATAGGGGAAAAGTTGCTTGAGTTTTCATCCTTTGATATGCAGCCAAAGAGATATTTGCCAAAATTAAATAAAATTACTGTTATCCAATCACCCCAGTCCACAATAAAATACTCACCGCTCCACCGAAAATTTCTTCACACCATAAATTTCGTCAAGGTCAAAGACTTTTAAGTCCCCTTAACTGGGCCAGTGACACATCTCCTTTCGAACAGAGGGCAATAACAATAAAAAATTTTTTTTTTCATGACTGTCAAGTATTTCCCAAGAAAGTCAACAGAGACTGGGAACCCCCCCCCCCCCCAGACATTTCCCGCCTTGTATTTGCACTTGACAGCCGCAAAAAGGTTTCCTTTTCCCAGGAACAAAAAATATCGCCTGTCCTGAAATTGGAAACTGTTACGCCTGATTCGAATTGGAAACGCTACCAAATATGACTACCAACTTATTTCAGTCCTTTCTAAAAAAAAAAAAAAAAAAAAAAAAAAAAAAAAAAAAAAAAAAAAAAA